CCTCACCAGTGCCAATCCTGCTCAGCCCATAAGCCAGGCCAGGCTCGTCACTTCAAACTCAAATCTCAAGCTTCTGTGGGAAGGGTGGTTTGAATATTATCCTGGGATAAAAAAATGTTGTAGATTGATGAGTATTTGGGGTCGGAGTAGCTATGGCAAACAAATACATCAAACCACCCTTCCATGCAAAACATCCACCAGCACTCAAAGACTCAAACCACAATCACAGCAGTGCAGTGCAGTTCAGTTCATGGTGATCTTGCAGGAGCTCTGCATGTGCACAAGTTTTTTGGCCTAGTGTTTATTATGCATGCTGTGTAGGCGTATGCGCCTGTTGGTGTATTAAAGTATAAAAAAAGGAAACAAACACCCCCCAACAGAGGGAAACAGCACTTGTGGCAACTCCCCCTTCAAGTGAAACAACTGCAGGAGTATTTACAAAGAGAAAGGAGGATAATGTACAAAGACCTATATACACAACAGCACCAGAGCCACACCCCAACAGTGAGACAAGGTAGGTAGCACCACAGCCACCACTTGGGCAGCACCAGGGCCAACCACCAACAAAGATAGCCACCAGGGCCACACAGGGAGGGAAGGGCAGGAAATACAGCAAAAACACCATCACCCAACCAGCCCCCACCCCCAAAGAAAGCAAACATAACATAACATGTTTTTTTATGTGTATATTGTGTGGTTGATTATCTATTTATGCAGACATGTATGTGCTGTACCTATGTGCACATCCAATGTGTGTGTGTGGGCTTGAGCCAAGGGAGGGACAGTGGAAAGCAATTTGGGCACAAACAGGCCATGCAGCCAGTCACAGTGTGTGATGGTCATGTTGTTGTGCCCAAGTGCACAGGCACAGAGGGCCAGTGCAAAGGAAGGTTGGGCACAGGCAGGCCATGCACCCAGTCACAGTGTGTGATGGTCATGTTGTTGTGCCCAAGTGCACAGGCACAAAGGGCAAGTGCAAAGGAAGGTTGGGCACAGGCAGGCATGCACCCAGTCACAGTGTGTGATGGTCATGTTGTTGTGCCCAAGTGCACAGGCACAGATGGCCAGTGCAAAGCAAGGTTGGGCACAGGCAGGCCCTGCACCCAGTCACAGTGTGTGATGGTCATGTTGTTGTGCCCAAGTGCACAGGCACAGAGGGCCAGTGCAAAGGAAGGTTGGGCACAGGCAGGCCATGCACCCAGTCACAGTGTGTGATGGTCATGTTGTTGTGCCCAAGTGCACAGGCACAGATGGCCAGTGCAAAGCAAGGTTGGGCACAGGCAGGCCCTGCAGCCAGTCACAGTGTGTGATGGTCATGTTGTTGTGCCCAAGTGCACAGGCACAGAGGGCCAGTGCAAAGCAAGGTTGGGCACAGGCAGGCATGCACCCAGTCACAGTGTGTGATGGTCATGTTGTTGTGCCCAAGTGCACAGGCACAGAGGGCAAGTGCAAAGGAAGGTTGGGCACAGGCAGGCCATGCACCCAGTCACAGTGTGTGATGGTCATGTTGTTGTGCCCAAGTGCACAGGCACAAAGGGCAAGTGCAAAGGAAGGTTGGGCACAGGCAGGCCATGCACCCAGTCACAGTGTGTGATGGTCATGTTGTTGTGCCCAAGTGCACAGGCACAGAGGGGCAGTGCAAAGCAAGGTTGGGCACAGGCAGGCCATGCACCCAGTCACAGTGTGTGATGGTCATGTTGTTGTGCCCAAGTGCACAAGCACAGAGGGGCAGTGCAAAGCAAGGTTGGGCACAGCCATGGCAGACCACAAGACCCCACAAACCCAGTGCGCACATAGGGGGGCATGTGTGTAGGCACACTAAAGCTCCTCAGCCACCAGAGAGAGAGATATATATATATATAGATATATTCCCAGAAATCTTGTGCACATGCATCAACACAATGAACAGTGTCTCTTGTGCATCAAGACCTGCTTTTCCGATGGCCTGACCATGCTCAATTCTTGTGAAACCTAATACCTCTTTGCTGCCCCCATAGATTTTATGTGGGGTTCCAGCTGCTGATAGATCTCAAGAGGGATCTTTCCAGGGACCTGCTCTGGCTGCCCAGGTTCCAAAGGCAGCTTGTCCCTCATCACATGCCACTTTCTCCAATTAAACTCATGGACAGATGCCAGGCAGTCTTTCCAAGAAGCCTTGCCACCAAAGTAGCTGCTCTGGGTCTTCTGCTTCATCCTCCCTGTCAAGCTTGCAGAATCATGGGGGAATGAAGAGGTGAACCTGTGGTCCTGCCAAGAGACGCCGAAGGTACACCCTGGTGGTGCAATTTGCCTTAAGATCTCAACAGGTGATCTCCTGGGTGTTTCTCTGGTCCTTGGTTCTGCCTTTGGCTGTGCCTCTGGGGCTTGCTTTGGGGCAGGCTTGGGCTTTACCTTGGCATAATCCACCTTTGGCACCCCTTCAACCTGTGCAGAGCCTGAACTTGCACTAGCCCCACCAACTGCTTCTGGCACCCCCCCACTGGCAGAAACAGCACTGGATGCTGGCTGTGTCTCACCTTCACCCTTCCCAAGCCCTTTCTCCTGACTTTGCGACTTTTTCAAATGGCCTTTCTTCACATTTCTGGCTGCAAAAGACATCCTGCCCCTCCCTTTCCCCTGTCCCTTTCCCCTGCCTTTTCCCTTTCCAGCCTTAGCCTTGGGCTTCTTATTGGACTGGACCGGCTCTTCTGCCTTCTCCTTCTTCTGCTTTTTCTTCCCCACCTCCTTCCTGATCTTCTTGATTTCCTGGAAGTTGGCCTCATCCTCTTCCAATGCATCTAAGACCTCATCATCCAGATCTGCTTCAGCAGCCTGTGCTTCAGGCACCTCAGGAATTTTGGCAATTGCCTTCTGCTGCTCCTCAGCATCTGTCAGGCACCTTTCAATAAGCAAGATTTGCAGCTGCCTTTTCTTCAAGTTCTTGGCAAAGGCCACACCCAGTTCCTGAAGCAAGTGCTTGATCTGCTTCACTGTGATGTGCGCACCCTCCTTGCAAACTGCCATTGGTAGGGTCACAGGGTTACCCACTCTGACCCACCCCATGGGGCCAACCCCAGGATTCAGCAACTGTGGTTCACAAGGCACCACAACCCAATCATTCAAATCAAAAATGTGGTACCAGCCCAAAGAAGCCCTTGTGCTGTTCATGAAGTACATGGCTTTCCCATGGTGTCCTTTCTGGACATCTAGAAGCCAACCAAGCAGTCCATACTCTGCTGCCTGAAGAACTTTCACCAAAACTCCAGTGCTTTTCTGGGCCACAATTGTTCCTGGCTTCCCAGCCAGCAATGTCACCCACGCTTTCTCCAGGCTTCCAGCTGGCAAACCTGCATCCCAGGCACTGAAAAGCCACTCAGTTGCAGCCTGGATTGGAAACATGCTGGCGGGGCTTGGGGAAGGCCAAGAGTTGGTGACACCCTGCTTAGCCATCATCTTTTGCAGGCTCACTGGAAGCTTGTGGGACCTGGGGTTCATCTTCAAAAGAACTGGTGAAGTGAAGGCAGAAGAAGAGGCAAAGACTTTGTCGGCAGGATTGACAGTGATACTGTTTACATTTCTTTCCTCCAAAGATTTGCTCAATAAGAGCTGATGTTGGATAGCAGTCAGGCTGGGTGCATTGCTTTTGCTCTCTCTCAAAATGTCCTTGCACTTGGAGTGCGCAGTCTCAACCACCCTGCTGTCACCCAAGTTCTTGGCAAGGTGCATTTGCAAAGCACACCCCTGCTCCAAGCCCTGCTCATAAGCCAGGAACAAAGCTCTGACAAAAGGAGACTTCCTCCACACCAAGCTATCCAAAAAGGGCACTGTGCCACCAGCAGCTACAGCACTCTCCACCTCCAGCAAGACCCTCCATTCCTTCTGCACCTGTTGGATAGCCTTGGCTGCCTCTGCAGGATCTGGTGACAGGGTCCCACAGTATCTCATGGGTGGTGTCAAGGCTGCCACTGCCAAGCTGGACCCTCTGACGCACAGCAACTCCTCCAAGAAGTTGGCATGCTCTGCCAGCAAGCCCTTCCTGTCTTCACCTGGCTCCTCATGGAACTGCTGGAAGAGCTCCTCCCTGTCAAAGCACCCATGCCTGACCATGTCCTCAAGCTCCTCTGCCCACTTCCACTGGGTTGAACAAGCCACATTGTACTGGAAGACATCAGAGGGACTCTTGATGGTCCTTGCTCTCAGGGCATGGTGTTTCCAGGTGGCTCTGCACACCTGCATGACCATCCTCTGCAAATCGATGTTCCTCTCAGTGATCAGCAATTGGGCAAGCTTCCACACCCCCTTCTTCTTCTTCAATTCTGCAAGTTCAGCCCTGGGGTCCTTAGAAGCCAGCCCCTCATGGTCAAAGGATGCAGCTGGTTCCTCCTGTTCAGCCTCATACTCTGTGCCAGCTGACATGAGGATCATTTTTGTGGCATACAGCTCACCTTGGTAAAATGCTGCTGACTCAAAAAATGAAAACCAGCGCATGAGCTTCACAAGAGGTCCCTTCTCTGCAAATGACCTCAGTTTCCCCAAAGATTCAAACAGATCTTGTTGCTGGGCCACGTGCTGAGGCTCAGGAATGCCTAGTTCCCTGCAGATGTATGGCAGATGCTCTTGGAAGGTGGTACTGGAAGCAGAGTGCTGGGCAAGAAAGTCCTGCAGGCAGTCGTGCTTCCTCCCAAACCATGTGCCAGATCCAAAGGGACCATAAGGAAGGTTGTAGACCACAGTCATCTCCAGCATGGTCTTGTAGGGGTAGCATCTGGCCCTTCTGGCAGCCAATTTGATGTCGTTCCATGCCCTGTGGAAAGGGTCATATAAACAACAGCACAGGATTGCCTCCTTTGAAAATTGGATGTAATTGAGAGCAGCCATATTGCTAGGCCCCTGGTCAGAGATGCTGACAAGGACAGGAAGCTTTCCCAGCAGCATTCCAGTGGGGATTTGTGGCCTGGCTATGCCTTCCTTCGTATCCACAATGTACCACAAGCCATCCTTCTGAGCTCTGATCTCATTGGGCTTGAGTGGCTCTAGGTGAAGCCCAAGAGGCACATTGAAGTCAGGCAAAGTGAGACCCATGCTTTTCATGGAGTTGGACAAAGCTCTGAGCTCTACATAGCCTTCCACTCTTGTCAATCGACCCTTCTTGCCATCCGCCTTCAGCTCCTGAGACAGATCTCCTACCAGCAGCCTTCTCAAAGGCTGGACCAGCATATAGGCAGCCAAGTCCAGGTCCACACTGTAGATCATTCCAACAAAAGTCTCCATGCCACCATAGCTGGATGGATCCCAGACCACAGAGATCTGGGTGACACCCTGAAAGGCTCCTGAGCAAGCTCTTTCATGGAGCACTGTGGTGAGGTAGGCCTCCTGCTTCATGAGCTTACAATGCTCAGAAATGAGGTTCGCATGTGTTCTGGCTACCCTCCACCTGTGCAGTCTTTCATTTTTCACCCTGTCCAAGACCAGCAGCTTGTTCACCTGGTCTGAAGATTTCCTGGTGAAGCCTCTCTTGCTTTTCAGGACTGGAAGCTCTTGCAAAGGCATGTAGGTCAAAGAGACAGCATAAGCCTCCAACCCTGCAGCTACATAGATCATGAGGTTTGGCAGCACACCTTTCCCAAGGCTCTCCCACAAGGTTTGCCCTCCAGCCTTGAGTTTAGGGTTAGTTGCCAGGTGCAGCATGAAGACTGCCAAGTCTTCAATCTTGGCATTCCCCCAGTGGCTACCCTTTCCAAGCTGACTCTTCCAATTTGTTCCACAATTTCTGGGCTGCAGGGATGTGGTTGACCATGGCAGCCCAGCCACCACACAAGCCATGCTTGTTGACATTGATGTGCCCCACTTTCAAAGAGCCATCTGGTGCACAAATGGTGACAGGTGGAAAGGCAGGGACTTGCCCCAGCTCATGCGCCTTGTTGTTGGCAATGCTTGCTAAGGACACAAACATCTTCAGAGCTTTCTCCTTCTGCTCAGCTTTGAGTGGCTTTGACTTCAGACAAGTCACCAATAAGGACAGCATGGCCCTGCCTTCCAAAGTGTGGTCTTTCCAAGGCTCAGCTGGGGAACCTTCATACCCCTTCGGCTTATAGTGCATCTGCTCCCCTGGCACCTCAAGCAGAGCCATATCAGCAGCCACAGCTGCCTTATTGGTCTGAAGAAAGGAGCCACCATAGCCCCCAATGCCCAAAGCATCTTGGATCCTGGGCCATAGCCACTCTGCATTCCCTTGTTGGTTGAAGTAAGCCCTCAAATTGATGTTGTTATCCTTGATGGTGGCTACTGGGAAAGGTGCCTTGACATCCTTCCCTTGGGGAGGGCCAGCATCCTCAACTTCCACATCAGCCATGGGGACCAGTCAGTGGCCAGTGATGGCAAAGAGGTTGATGTGTTTGGAATTGGGCAATTGGTCAGGTGGACATGGTAGCCTTAAGTCGAGGTGGGGCTCACCCAATGAGGTCAATTTAGTTAAGTTAGTTATTGGAGGTGGCATCCAGGCTGAGCATATGTGATTGCATGGTGCTCCCACAATCATGGGCACCCCCATTACTACAGTAGTGGCATAGTGCAGTGTTGCCTGTGCACTTGTTTGGCTTGAGCCTTGCCTGGGAGAATTATGTATAAGTTTGTATATGTGTATATATATATATATGTGTGTGTGTATATGTATACCCAAGGACATTTATATGAAGAAAGGAAGGGAGGAAGGAAGGAAAGGAAGGAAAGGAAGGAAAGGAAGGAAAGGAAGGAAAGGAAGGAAAGGAAGGAAAGGAAGGAAAGGAAGGAAAGGAAAGGAAGGAAAGGAAAGGAAGGAAAGGAAGGAAAGGAAGGAAAGGAAGGAAAGGAAGGAAAGGAAGGAAAGGAAGGAAAGGAAGGAAAGGAAGGAAAGGAAGGAAAGGAAGGAAAGGAAGGAAAGGAAGGAAAGGAAGGAAAGGAAGGAAAGGAAGGAAAGGAAGGAAAGGAAAGGAAGGAAAGGAAAGGAAGGAAAGGAAGGAAAGGAAGGAAAGGAAGGAAAGGAAGGAAAGGAAGGAAAGGAAGGAAAGGAAGGAAAGGAAGGAAAGGAAGGAAAGGAAAGAAAGGAAAGGAAGGAAAGGAAGGAAAGGAAGGAAAGGAAAGGAAAGGAAAGGAAGGAAAGGAAGGAAAGGAAGGAAAGGAAGGAAAGGAAAGGAAGGAAAGGAAGGAAAGGAAGGAAAAGAAGGAAAGAGAAGGAAGGAGGGAAGGAGGGCCTGAGGGAAGGAGGGAAGGATGGAAGGAGGGAAGGAGGGAAGGGGGGCCTGAGGGAAGGAGGGTAGGAGGGTATATCTAAGTATATATCTATATGTGTGTGATTAGCTTGCCTTTAGGTAGGAGCATGGCTGCCAGCTGGCTCACCCCCAGTCAAGCCTGATTCTTGAGCACAGGATTAAGGATGGCTTGTTCAAAAACCTTGGCTGGTGGTGAAGTGCACTTTTGGCCATGCCTTTGCTCTGCATAAACATGTGTTCCTTTGCTGTGTGTGTATGTGCAAACCCTTCTTAGTGTTGGGCCAGCCCTGTGTACCCCCAGACTTTGCACAAGTAAGTTTAAACACCAGGCTCAGAAACTAGCATTGGTACATATGACCACAAGCCCAAAGCCTAATCTTACCTGAACCCAACCCAATAAATACAATACACATTAAGCTACATCATTTCCCACTAGTTTTGACCCACAACAGCAAGGCCAAGTGCCAACATCTCAGTCAAGGGGGTGGCTCCCAAACCTAAATGGCACAGGATTTCATACATGTGTGTGTGTGTGTCTTCTTACCTTTCATTCCTGAGTATGTGTGCACAGCTGCTGCAACATATGTGCATACACAAACAAATTAATTACACATATGTGCTTCTGTGTATTTCAATGCCAATCATGCATTTATATGTTCACACTGGCTATGCTGTTGGCACTCCCACCCACCACCCTGGTAATTGGCCAGGTAGCTGGGCTGTGTTGGCCAAAATTGCCTGGTGATGTCCATGGCGACCAGGTCATACCACTTCCTGACAGGCACTGGTCAATGAAATGGTTGTGGTTCCTGATGTTGGCACATTCCACTTCAGGTTTCTTCTCATGACTTTATCTCTCTGGTTGCAACTTCTACACCACACCCCACCTAACCCAACCAAGTCTTAACATGTTGCAGCTGAAGCTCAGTGGAGAAAGCTGCCATCCAACTCAGATGCCTGGCAGCTGCAAGGCTCACCCTCTGGCAAGGCACCAAGCTTCTTGCAGTACCTCAGCAATGGCACAGTCAAGTTCACCATATCCATTTATGTTATGCTATTTCAGTCATGTCATGCCACCCCATCCCCCCCACCATACATACCAAACCCCTCTCACACCATACCACCACCTGCACACCATCCCAGCCAAGCAGCCCTCCACAACGAAGGCACTTGCTGCAGGTGCTGCACAGCTGCATGCTGATCCCACCCATGATGTATCCACTCATCCCTGGCTTTGTGTGGGAGCATCCATGGGGCATGAAGTAGGAGGCATTGAGGCACCTGCACCCAGCGAGAGAGGATGACTTGAACTGGTCTGCCTTCCTCTCAGAGTTCATGATGACCTTTAAGAGGGACCACAGTGCCTTGCTGGTGGGCACCTTTTCTCCTGGGCCCAGCTGCATCTCAGCACACCCTTCAGTGCCTTCTTCCAACATATCAAGGACCCAGCCTGTGCACACTGGGCCAGCATTGACATGGTTGATGGGGTTTTCCACCACAGCCTGCCTATCTGGGGTGCAATCACCTCTGAGCATCAGCATATCCACCTCTTTCTTGGTGAGCCCACTGGTCCTGACCCTCACCTCACATTCAGCCTCCCAGTACTTGTTGTGAGCATTGGCATGCTCCTCCCAACTGTCACTTGACATGCCACCATCTGAGTCTGAGGAGTCACTCTTGCTCTTCCTCCCCAAAGACTTGTCCACCCTCCTCCCATAGTCGAAGTAGGCATGCTGCCTAAGTGGCAATTCTGCAACCCCAACCCCAAGGCAAACACACACACACACACTGCAAGACCATCCCCATCATCACCAGGACACCTCCCATGATGTGCAGCCCAAGCAGCTTGGCAGTCTCTTCTGGGTTGCTGTCACTGTCATCAGCAGCTTCCATTATTGGCCTGGGCCAGCTCCAACACCCACCACCAACCCATACCCCAATGGGCCATACCTCTGCATACAGTGCAGACTATGAGATTCATGTCCACATGCCATGCACCTCCTCAATTCGACTCATGGCCTTGCATGCATGTTGAGCCTGGCCTCTTGGTGTTGGGTCTGGCATCTGACATGGCTGGCTATATCTTCAGCACTGTCCTACTTTTGAGCCAGCACTTTGTGGTCTCCATAGCTCTTTGTCACCCTAGTCCCCTGGTGCCAATTTCTATGCCACCATAAGCCAAACTACACACACCTACCAACACCTACCCCAAACTAAAAACAACTACAAACCACTAAAAACACCTAAAAAAAAACTAAAAAAAACTAAAAAAACTAAAAACTTCTAAAAATGTTCTTTGCCTGTGGTGGCTCCCAAAAAAATATCCATTGTAAACAGAACTCTGCCCAATTTTTTATTTTACTGTTTCACCTTGGGCTCATTCCCAAGGGGGTTCATATACTTTTAACACATGCCAACTTCTAAAAATGTTCCTTGCCCCTGATGGCCCCAAACACTACACCCATTGTAAAACAACATTGTGGTCAGTTTGCTATTTTACTGTTTCATCTTGGACTCATGTCTCAGGGATTTCACATACTTGCAATACCTACTAGTTTCTAAACATGTTCTTTGCCCCTGGTGGCTCCCAAACATAACCCCTTGTAAACAGAACTCTGCCCAATGGTTATTTTACTGCTTCATCTTGGGCTCATTCCCAAGGGGGTTCATATACTTTTAACACATGCCAACTTCTAAAAATGTTCCTTGCCCCTAATGGCCCCAATCATTTTACACCCATTGTAAAACAACATTGTGGTCAGTTTGCTATTTTACTGTTTCATCTTGGACTCATGTCTCAGGGATTTCACATACTTGCAATACCTACCAGTTTCTAAACATGTTCTTTGCCCCTGGTGGCTCCCAAACATAAACCCTTGTAAACAGAACTCTGCCAATGGTTATTTTACTGCTTCATCTTGGGCTCATTCCCAAGGGGGTTCATATACTTTTAACACATGCCAACTTCTAAAAATGTTCCTTGCCCCTGATGGCCCCAATCATTTTACACCCATTGTAAAACAACATTTTGACCAGTTTACTATTTTACTGTTTCATCTTGGACTCATGTCTCAGGGATTTCACATACTTGCAATACCTAGCAATTTCTAAACATGTTCTTTGCCTCCAGTGGCTCCCAAACATATACCCTTGTAAACAGAATTCTGCCCAATGGTTATTTTACTGTTTCATCTTGGGCTCATTCCCAAGGGGGTTCATATACTTTTAACACATGCCAACTTCTAAAACTGCTCCTTGCCCCTGATGGCCCCAAACATTACATCCATTGTAAAACAAAAGTTTGATCAGTTTGCTATTTTACTGTTTCATCTTGGACTCATGTCTCAGGGATTTCACATACTTGCAATACCTAGCAATTACTAAACATGTTCTTTGCCTCCAGTGGCTCCCAAACATATACCCTTGTAAACAGAATTCTGCCCAATATGGTTATTTTACTGTTTCATCTTGGGCTCATTCCCAAGGGGGTTCATATACTTTTAACACATGCCAACTTCTAAACAATACCCCATTTAGACATACCCATATATGAACATGTGATCATCTTTTTGGGTAGGAATTTATGGTGATAAAGTGGGGATGTATTGGGGATATGTCAAATGAAAAGTATGAACGACGTCGTAATGACCCCGTAAGCATAGCCATAGCTGCACGGAGATAAGCCGAACTCACTGGAGGTTTAGGTCCTCCATCTATTTTTGGGGTCCAAAAAAACTGGTTCAAAGATAGGGTGTTTTCCTAACGGCCTATCATTGTATTCAGCACATATTTTAGCAGTTGAAAAAACGGGAAGCCAAACAAAAAATGCTTCGTCATCATGTTCTATGAAGATTGCCATAGAAATTCCCTATGTATCACCCTTTTCTGCCCATGTTCATCCAACAATATCCCCATTTTAATGGCTGGTTAAAACACAAATCAAATCCATTGAAGTACCCCATAGGGAAGGGCAAACCCGTATCTCCAATAGGGTCAGTCATTCCAACTGAAGCACAAGGTGGGGTCCCCACAAGATAGCTAAGTTGGCTTGTTCTAGGTCAACTATATGGTTTTTGGCAGATATATCGCATTAGACAATAAGGTGAAACTAAACCAACTCCTAACTAGGGGGCACCCCCATTTGAGCAATGTTCAAAACCTGAAATGTGATTCCATTTATATTTATATATATATAATCGTTTTGGGGGTTGTTTAAACATATTCCCATTCTAGTGTTTTGTTGCTTGAAATGTCCATCTTCTACTTCAGGATTCCATTTCATCCTGCAGTTATCCCCCTTAACCAATTAGACATGGGATGAAATAACTCTTTCAACTGGTTGGTGAAACATATCACAAAATATCACTTCAATGAGGTTTTCATTTCGCCAGTTAAAACTGGTTTCTAGGGCCTTTCGCTGCGGTTGGTTCAGAACGGGATACCATGATGGCTAGCCCATGCTATCACCCTGCTGTCGCCTCTTGAGTCTCGACTTCCGACCTGTTGGAGAAGACGACAACCGGTGACACAACACATTAAAACAGAAACACAAAATTCTACAATCCCATATGCTCCATGTATGGAATATTTACCAACATGTGCCGTAAAAATCACCCAAATGTAGGTAAATATACCATGCATGGAGTATATGGGAATGAAGAATGATAGCAATTACAGACTTAAGAAGTGTCTAAGTCTAATACAAACAAGTTGGGGAGATTTTTTTGGAATTGGGCATTGGTCAGACTTTCGAACTTGGAATTCAAACAACATTTTGGAAAAATATGGAAAGTCATGGTGATCAACCGACTCGGTCCTTCGGTGATGAATTGATTGGTGCAACAGTGGTTACACCATGGTGATTTTGCCGCGGTTGTGATCCAGCCCCTTTGGTTTGCCAAAAAAAAAAGTCGCCGTTTAGTACGCGGCTGGTTGTCCTAGAACTGCACTGCCAAGTGGCACCGGTGCCGCACCAACTTGGAACAAGTTCCTCAAAATTGGTGATTGGATCCCCAATTTTTGTGTCATGATTCTGCAGTTTTCCATCGTTGATTTTTGGAATTCTCCCACTGATAGACTTTGGATGGACCATTTGTAGCCACATAACACGCCACCAAGAACTAGATCTTCAAAGAGTGGCAAAACCCACAGTTGTCCACCCAGTTCATGTTTCAAACATTGGTTAATGATTCGTGTGTTAGTACCTGAGCTAATTTGAGGTTATTATCTATTAAACATTGGGTCCGGAATTGTTTTGTGTTTTGTTCCGTTTTGTTTTCTTTTATCTGCTGTTCTGTCCGTTTTCCGTGCAATTTGCAGCATTTTGGAGCTGGAAACTGCTATTTCAACGGTATTTTAACAATTTGGAGTTCGAACCTCTCATTTTCCATGGTATTTGCACCATTTTGGTGCTGAAATTGTTCATCTTGCATTGTATGTTGCGACGAGGGGACATATAGGGTTTAATTAGGTTTGTTTAGGGGTTTATTTAGGATCGGTTTAGGGATGTTTAGGGTTGACTTGCAGTAGTTTTTTAATGGTTGGTTTTGTTTTTTTGAAGGTTGGTTTTAGTGTTTGTTTGGGCTTATTTAGGGTTGGTTTAGGATCTATGTATATAGGGTTGGTTTAGGGTTTTTGTAAGCGTGTGCAGGATCCATTTAATTACGGTTGGTTTAGGTTTCAATTAGAGTTGGTTCAAAAGCAAAAAGCAGAGAAGCAGAAAAAACAAGCAACAAAGTAGCAGAGAAACAGAAATCCAAAAATGTGCCCAAAACGGAAACACATCATTCCCCGAAAAATAATCATCCGTAAATATTGGGTACAATTCGTGATTCTGCAACATCATCCAGGCATCCCCCTGTGAATTCGGTGTGCAACACGTGGGGCCCCATTTTTTAGTGTTAAAATGATTTTGGGGGGGGCTACACCCTTTATAAAATGAAAAAACCCAGCAAAACAGGGGGTGCACAATGTCTATAAAATGGCGCCCCCCTAGTATCTCACTTAACGGTCTCATCTGGCTATGTAGGTCCATTTTTGACCATCTGTAAAATGGGGACCCAGGTTCATGTGGTGGATGTGCTGAGATCTAAATAGATCACAAAAGGGAGATTTTGAATATGAAAATTCCATTTTATAGAGGTAAGATGCGGTGAGAAATCACAAAGCCTGGAGCGCGTGAAAACTGCTTTGTTTTTCCCCTCGGTCTGCTCGCAAGATGCCATAAGATGCCAAAAGTCTAGGGATTAAGTGCACTGAGCACACATGAGCATACTCTGGCGCCACATGTGTAGCCATTAAGATACCCAAAGAACAGCAATGGGCACACAACGGGGCCATGTCATATGAGCAATGCACATCTGTCTGGAGTCACAAATCCCGGATAATCCCGGTCTATCCCGGCAAGATCGGAATGTTCCCGTTCAATGATAAAAAAATATAAAGTATGATATCCAAATAATCACCCTTGTAATTTCCTCTATAAAATAGAGGTACCCGGGTACCTTTATAACCCATTATTTTATCCCTCTACAAAATGTTTTTTTTTAATGTTGGGAAATACGAAGCACTTTTTGGTGTTTTTGGCATGTTGCAAGGTCAACCCAGGACCCCATTTTATAGAGGGACTTTTTGGGGTAACTTTTGGGGGCTCTTTTTAACCCTGGTCCCCATTTTATAGAGACTAATGCTTGGATTGTGTCAACATGAACAACTCGCTGGACCGGCAGCACCACATGGCTCCAAAATGTTCAAAAAGATCAAACATGTTGGCAAGATTTGGCAAGTAAAAAGAGAAACCAATTGAATACAATCGAAACTAATCAAATACATCAAATAAGGATATGTAAGGCCTTTCTTTAAGCAAAAATTTTCAAGAACGATAGTATGGGAATGACATGGATTGAATGTATAAGGGGGACATGCAGAATCAAGAATCATTAAGATACTACAAGAATCTACAAGACAATAATAGATAATACAAGAACATACAAGAACATACAAGATACTACAAGCACATACAAGCACGAACATTGATGTTACAATATGTTACATGATGTTACAAATTTATATTATACTATCTCTATAAAATGGGTATTTGGGCCTCTACCACCAAGAGCCTCTATAAAATGGGTGCTTTGTGGTAAAATACGAGCTGGTTCCCCATTTTATAGAGGAGGGCTTCCCAGAATCTGGGAAAGTGTTGAGGCTTTGGAGATTTTCGATGATGTTTGATGTATTTTTTGAGGGGGCTTTTGGGTCTGGGATGGCTTAGGTTGTGTGGTAAAGCGCCTTCCCTAACTTCCAGCTTTCTAGCTTTCCCATCCCAGGATCTCCCAGGTGCCAATGTGTTTTCCATATTTTTCCATTTTATAGAGGCAAGCCCTTGCAAAACCGTTCTGCTCCCCATTTTATAGAAGGGCTTCCTAGCTTTCCAATCACAGGTGCCCATGCGTTTCTATTTTATAGAGGCAAGCCCTTGCAAAACCGTTCTGTTCCCCATTTTATAGAAAGGTTATCAGATGTTTTTTATTTTTTAAAACAATATATACAAACAATCTTCAAAATATTCAATGCGTTGGATTGTGTTTCTCGGTTTCACCCGGGACTTGGTGATTTCTCACCTTTGATCACCTCTATAAAATAAAAATTCCAAATCAACAACTTTCTTTTGTGACCGGAGTTTGGCCCCAGCACTTCACACCTGGGACCCTGATCCTCATTTTATAGAAAGTCAAAATGGACTCAGGCAGCCGCATCAGACAGTTAAGTGAGTAACCTGGGTACCCCCATTTTATAGACAGCGCAGACCCCCCTAATTACCTGGGCACCCCCATTTTATAAAGGGCCACCCCCCAAAAAAAAACCATGTTATCACTATAAAATGGTGGTACCCAGGTTACACACTGAACTCCAAGGGGGATGCAAATGCTATGTTAGTATTCCTGTTGCCAAAACTTTGGTTTTGGATTGAAAATCATGACTGGCACAACTGTTTTTGGATGTCTTCCTGGGGCTCACCCTTACTGGACCCCAAAAAGCTTCAAAATCAACAATTTTATATAATCGATTGAATAAGGAAAAAACTCCTGGTCGATGTTGCCAATCTGGCTACTTGCTGCCATGATGATTGTGATGTACTATTGGAGGTTTGGGAACCCTGCGCAAATGCTATGTTAGTAGTCCTGTTGCCAAAACTTTGGTTTTGGATTCCAAATATATCCAAACAGAAAACACAACACACACACACACACACAAAAAAACGCCGTTTTACTTGAATGATCTTGAAATATCTTGAATGTGTTTGACATTTTGTTGAGCCATATGGTGCAGCTTGGACAGCGAGTTGTTCATGTTGAAACAACGCAAGCTGTGGCCTCTATAAAATGGGGACCAGGGTAAAATAGGGTCCCCAAAAAAGAACCCAAAATACCCTCTATAAAATGGCGACCACTCTTGACCTTGGAGCATGCCCAAGACACCAAAGAAGTGCTTTGTAAGTCCCAGGAGAAAAAACACATTTTATAGAGGTATAAACTGGAGGGTTATGAGGCTACACGTGTTACCCTATTCTATAGAGGAAATTTCTAGGGGGATATCCAGGCATTGATTTTCAAGGGGTCACAATTTCGGGTATCTTTGAGCGCCCGCATGCGATGCGACACACCTCGCCTTAGACAGGTGTCGTTGGACAACGGCACGGACTCGCGAAACAAGTCCAGCTCTGCGCGACCGCGACCTGGTCGGTTTTGGGGCGGAGCTTTGGGGTAGCCGGGTAGCACAAATTTCCAAAACACCCAAATGATTGTTTAATGTTTCATGGAATTTCTATGGATATGTTCAATGATTCATTATAGTTAGTTTTTATACAAAACATGGCAGTTCTTCATCCAACTTGACACTTGACCCATACCAATCGCAAGGAGAGTGGCGGATGATCGCTCAGCGGTACGGGGTGTTGTGCCCGGCAGCAGGCGGTCTTCGTGACCGAGACTGCGACCTGGTATGGACAGGCCAACAGCCAGATCGTCTGCAAAAAAGGCACGCCACGCCACCACAGGTCGGACAGGAGGTCCGCCAGTCATCTGCTGCGCATTTTGTTTGGGTGTTCCCATGTGTTCCCCAACTGCTGCTGCTACTGGCAACCTGTGATTGGGATGACTATTGATGATCCATGAGGCTCACATATCTTAAGGTCACGTGCCCCAGCAAGGGACACTCTGTGAACCGGTCAATCTTGAAATATTCCAGTTACATGCTGACCGGCAATCAAACATGGCCAGTGGAGAACCCCCCGCGACTTGATGATTTACCCATTTACATTACCCTCTGGTAAACTAACATAACTATGCGGACAGCGTGGGCAGCGGATCACATACTTTTCAACGATGGCAACACCAAATTTTCAAATCTCTCCATGGTGGAATCCAAAAACCTGCATGGGATGTCAATGGAGCGCCCAGTTACGACATCGATGCACCGAACGGGGAGCCAGTACTCTTCTTGCCGAACTGTCCATGAGGAAGGACGGATGCAAAAAAAAATCTGCCGTCAGGCACCAAATCCGACAGTTCTCGCACCACAACGGCCAAGTTGTGTTCCACCTCAAACTTCCCCTCAGCAGCGCGGGCTTGAAGACGGATGTTATCCATCTCGCACTGCTGGTGCAGGCGACACAGCAACTCGGCCCCTCGGCGATTGGTTTCACTGCCTCCACTGCCAATTGGCAGTGCCATCTTTGAGAGGTAAATCAACTATATTACAAATGGGTCATTTTCAATAGCTATCTTAAACTTAAATTACCAGAGGGTAATATTTACAGGGGATTTCCCAGTCAGCCATGTTCTCTGGGGACACCGGAAGGTTTTATCCTCTGCTTGTCTGAGAACCAACAGTTGGTTTGGCAGTCGCTGATGAAAGCAAATGACACCCAACAGCTCATGATATTCCCAGAAAGTAGTGGGTTGGCAATAGTCAAATTTTCGTTGGCAAAGTATCTCTGATTGCACATGTATGGCTTTTCCAGAAGAAAACGCATCACCAGCAGTTTTGAGGGCACAGTGATTCTGAACAATTTCTGCAATTCACTCACTAACAAAACAAAATAGATCGTGCAACCTGTAATACTTGACATTTTCAGTAGAAAACCAAGGACAGTTTGCTTAGGATCCCCACTTTGGTATACTTTTGTTAGATCATGTTCTGACTGGTTTTTCCTACACATGTTTAATCAAGATTCACATCCCATTGTGTTTGCATCCAAAACTTTGGTTGCTTGTAGACCCAGCACTCCACAAAAGAGAAAATCGAGCAAACAATATAGTGCAATTGTACGCATTCAAAGATCCCACAATAGCAATACCATGTACCCTCTGGTAAACTAACATAATTATGGAAAATCACCATTTTAAAAGTGAAACTCCACTATAAATGGTCATTTTCAATAGCTATGTTAAATTACCATAGGTTATATATATTTATTTTTTGACTTTGTTTATTGCTTACCCTCCCGTAATCACATCTGGCCTCGAACACTCACCATGTTCCAAGGTTTTTGCCATGATATCCTCAGTAGATCACCTTCAACTCCCATGGTAAACCCGTTAAAAAATTACCATGGGATATATACATATATATGACACATAAAACCATGACTTCACATTATATATATATATAGTTATATATACATGTATATGTAAAGAGAGAGAGAGATATATATATATATGTATCCCAGCTATCCTCCCAATTCTGTCCTTATTGTTGATGGTCATCCCCCTTACCCAAATAAAACATGACTTCCCCTCCGCCGCGCCTTCCTCCGTGGATGCTGTCGCCTCCACCTCGCTGTCCTCACAGATGCTGAAGGATGTCCCCCTTGGTAGAGACAAGAGTTTTGGCCATGTTGATATTAATTTCAATACATGGAGCAAATTGGGGATATCCTATGTTGATTATTTCAATAATATGTTTGTTTATATATATATATATATACATAACCAAACTTGGGGGAAAATGGGGATTGAAAACACATGTTTTTTCACTATGACAATCGCATTGGCAGTTCACCATATCTGAGTATAATTGAAATTTTCTCACCTAACAGGATTCTTAAATGATGACAATCTATGGTGTTTAATCTGGTTTCATCAAATGGGGGGAAAACTGGTCATATCCGGTATATCCCTGGTTGCATCATCAACACAAATCCAAAGCTTATAGCCCTTAACAGTTGTGAATGGGATTTTTTAACCTCTGCAAATAGTGGGTTCTATACCAGTAGTACCGCACAAGGCGGTGGCGGAAGTTTCAAA